AGGATTTTGTGCGTCCAGTTTGATTTCCAAAAGTTAAGTTTTTGATTATCTCTCTGCCAGTCTGCTTTCTTCTTTTATTATTTGCCTGTAGAAAACTAAGTGAAATTGCCTAAAGAGTTACTCACAATCTTGATAATATAAAAAAACTCTTAGACTGACTTGCAATACCCTCTTACTCGAACGTCGAACCGGTGTCATTAAGTAAAAACTGCAGATCACAAAAAACTCGAACTCAGTGATGTTTATAAAGCGACACCTAATTTGAAGTCATTATTTAAAGCTTTCACGCAATAAATTTTTCATTACGAATAAAACAAGCCCAACTAAGTTAAATGAACAGCCGATAGATGCAAACAATTACAAGAATTATATATTACACTTAAACGACAAACAAAAACCAAACCATAAACTATCAAAAACGCATGTGAATAAAAACTACTGTATTTCCATTCCATTATCTACTTTACTAATTATTCTCTGACAGTGCCACCCTAAAGTAATAGATCAAGCAAATGAAGCCAAAAAACAGAACTGTGCCTGAAAGAGCAACCATTCGCACTCTGCTTCAAATAGATCTCAAAAACAAAGAACGAAAAAAGAAAAAATATGTTTTGCTCATAAAGTAAAACATAAATAACAAGTGACAAAACCACAGATCACAAGGCAGTTGAATAAGAAAAAAAAGCTATTTTCAACATCGCACTTTGTAACAGACTGTTATCTCCTGCAAAACAATTATTTCTGACAGCTCTTCAACTCAAAAAAAAAAAAAAAAAGACCAAAAAATCTGCTGCAGAATTTCAATGTTCTTGACCACTGAATCAAGTCATACTTAACTGGTTACAAAAATAACTCAGTAATCATGCAGAACTGCAACGTAATAAACAGACAGTTGTAGAGAGCCGAAGTGAAAAAACAAGTACTCCAAAAGTCCCAAAACGTACGGGTATGTGGTGGCAGAGCGCAACGAATGCTGCAGACCAACTCCCTTCACAAATTTAAAGCCCGTTATAAGCCGTTATCTAAGTGTTCTTACCACAGCAACCTATAAGGCGGAAAAACTCGTCACTGACAGAGTCTCAAATATATGCTTATAAATATAGGTTGCTGTGGCAAAAATACATAAAATATATATATATATATATTTATTTATTTATTTATTTAT